GTTAAATAAGAAATCTATTTCTTAGAGCACTTTTAGGTTTACAAAGAACTGAGCACATAGTACAGAGAATTCCCTATACCCCTCTCTACTCCACTCCAGCTTTTCCTATTATTAATATCTTTCGTTAGTGTGGCACATTTGTTACAATTGATGAACCAATGTTAATACACTATTATTAACTAAAGCCCATAGTTCATATTCTTTGTGCTATACAGTTAATGTGGATTTTGACAAATGCATATTGTCATGCATCCATCAGGAGATATCATGCAGAACAGTGGTACTGCCCTGAAAAAGCCCCTAGGCTTCACGTATTCATCCCCTGAAAGGGATCTTTTCCAAATGCAGATTTTACCCTGTCACTCCCCTCACTCAGCCTCACCTTGCACCTTCTCTTTATAGTTTTCTGTCTCCAACCACATAGATCTTTTTTGTTTCATTTCCTCAGACCACACTCCATTCTGCCTCAGAGTTTTGCTCATGCTTTTTCTTCTTCCTGAAATGCCCCTTTCTACCTCCCGGCTCCACCCCCAGGTCTTATCATGGTTTGTAATTATGTTCTATGTGTGTGGTTACTGGATTGGCGTCCTCTTGACTATGAGCTCCTCACTGGCTAAGATATGCCATTGTAGCCACAGTACCTGAAACATAACAGGTGTGGAATAAATATTTGCTGAATGATATAAATGAATAAATGAATAAATGAACAGAGTTTCCCTGATTGTGTGGAGCTTGGAAAGAGCAGTGAAGGTCTGCAATGATCGCAGGGGATGAAAGGGAAAGCTAATAGGAAACAAGTGAAAAGTTTTATCCAACAGGCTGAAAACACAGCTGAAAATCTGTAGATGCTTCAATCCATCAGATTGTGACAGAGGAGAGAGCTGAACGGGTAGTCATAGTAATAGTTTACATTTTCCACGGTGGAATTGTACCAGCAGTGACAAAGTACAGGGTATGGCACAGGAGTACACTGAAATAAACTGGAGGTGAAGATGTTAAATTTGAAAGGTCAAGGGAGCTGGCCACTGAGTAGGGGTTCCACAGACTCAGCGAAATCCCCCTCCCCAGAGGATGAAGAAATAAGCCAGGCACTTAACAAAATGTGAGGGTATAACCACGTTGGTAGATGACAGGAGAGACGGTTACTAGTTGAACAGCGTGGATCTCAGTGGGGCGGGTTTTTCATGCCTGTTGCTGCTCAGAAGCAATGTCTAGCTTTGGGAGCAAAGAATGTTGCTAGTGCCTCTCTCTGTGTGAGGCAAGGAGGAATAAATAGCTTCTACTTGAAAGGACTGCAGGGGAAGTGGTAACCTCAGGGGGAAGCCAGGTTTCAGTTCAGGCTACAAGGTGGTGGGAGATTAGCTAGGTTAGGTCTCTGGTTGCATGTAACCGAAATTAACTCTAGCTCTCTGCCGCCGGTGGTAGTGGAGGGTTGGGGGAGTAACCATCATGGGTGAGGAGAGGTGCTATGAAGGTCTTTGTGACCTGGGAAGATCCTCCAAGAGGTGTTCACTATAGATTGTTCCGTGAAGAAGTGGAGAAAGTAGAATTTGTTCACCGACAGGAGTTCCATACGACCAAAATAAATGTCTGGTCGGGTAAAGAGAAGCAGAAGTAGGGGGTTAGGGTGGTTTGTGGATTCCAAATTGTGGTGTCAGGAAGGTGGTATCTAGAACGGTAGCTAAAGGAGGAGCTGTACGCACACGGTGACAGTCGTCCCATCTGTCCATTGCCTGAACTCCTGTTCCATTCCAGATATCTGCCTGCTCCTGATTCATCGTCACCCACTGAATTTGAGTTTCTGACCTCCCCCACCGCATCCTCTCCTTTGCCCCAGGACATCTCTGAGATCTTCGCCCTGCCTCCAGACCCTCTACTGCCTCCTAAGAAGCTGCATTCTGGATTATTTCTTAAATTAACACTCAGTGTATGAGTCTGATGTGACCCAGCCTGCCTCTTGAGCCCTGTCAAGCCCCTATTTATCTTTTAATTTACAATATTAAATTGTAATTATCTTCATATGTCCTCTCCAGTTCTAATCTGAGTTTCTTCAGAACAGGGGCCATTTTTAAAAAATTCTCGTTTCTCCCCTCTAATGCTTGACACATTGCCTGTAACCCACAGAGGAATTAGTTTGTTGGATGAATGACTGACCGAATGAGTGAGTAAGTGGACTTTTTATCTACTATTGCCCTGTTCCTGTAGTCTAGAAATGTTGGACTCAGAGAGGTGGCCTCTCTGGTGAGACTCCTCCATTCTTGCCTACCCTTTTCCATGATTACTAATCTCCTGGCCTTGATTCGGTGCTTGCCAGACAGAGACCATCTGCTGGGATAGACAAATCCAGCTCATGGGACACCCTGTCCTGATTCTTCCTGGCCTGCCTTCTCTACATGCTTCCAGAATATGGGCCTGATACATACTGTTTTTTTCCATTTCCTAAAATGATACCTCTACAACATGGGTTGAGTCCTGATCCCCAAACACTTGGATTAGGGCCAGGATCACCTGGTTCATATTCCCCAGTCTGTCTTTTCCCACTCTCCACATTTCTATCATTCCTGCAGAGGGGACACCCAGTATACATGTATAGAATGGTTGACAATTTACATGGCCATGACAGTCACTGAAACCAGGAAAGTGACTACTTCTAGAATAGAAGGGAGATGGGATGAGATTAGGGACAGGCTACAGGTGCTTCAACTGTATAGATATTTTATTTCTGAAGATGGGTACATAAGCATTCACTATTCTTTATACCTTTTATAATTCTGAAATGTTTCCACTTAAAAATTTAGAATCAGAGGTACAGTTGTCCCTCAGTATCTGCGGGTGATTGGGTCCAGGACCCTCCGTGGATACCAATATCCATGGATGTTCAAGCCCCACGGTCGGCCCTCTAGCCTTGGAGGCAAAATCCGTGGGCATGGAGGGCCGACTGTGTTCAGCTTTTACCTTACTGAAATGCCAACAGGTTGATCTGGGAATAGAGACAACAGTGCTGATGGACTCTTGAGGCCAAGAGGAATTCAATCAAAATGTTCAGCACAAGGAGGACAGAGGGCCAGAGGAGGACTCCTGGGCTCAGAGCCAAAATCTCAGACTAAACTTCAGTTTGACTATGAAAGCCTATGAATCTATTGTGTTTACCAGTGAAAAGCCTCGAAACAGGCAATTCCCAGATTATTAGCTTATTTGTTGGTCAGTTGTCTGGAACTGGGAACAAGTTTTCCTATGGAAACAATATTACAAATTGTGGCTCTGCCCTCAAGGCCAGGCACAAAAGTTCACGGAATCCTAATGTACCTAAATACTGCCTTAATACTACTAAAGACCCTGACCACTATTTATAACAGTATTTCTGTGGGAAAGAGCATTTAGAGTTTTAGTGCCAGTAACACATATTCCTCAGCCCTGGGAGTCCTCTGGACTCTTGACCTTATTCCCACAGTGCTGATTCTTATCAGAATGTCCCCATACGTGGTGGTGGGCAGACTAGTTGCTTTCAGTTGCTACAGGATTCAAGCTGGAGTTTCAAGCAATTCATCTCCACTAAAATGATCCCAACTCCCACCACGTATCCTGGCCAATGATCTAAGCTGAGCTTCCCAAACACAAAATGGAGCCTCTTATTTGTACATGCCTTGCACACCCTATCATACGCAGACACTTAAACTCTGTCACATTAGGGACCTCATTTGCATTTCTCTGGGACACCAGGAGTCCTCATTTCATGAGAGAAATGGTAGGGGAGACTTTGGGACACTGAGTGGAGGGGTAGGGTGGGTGGATAAGCCTGGGAGAACCTTTGAACAGGGACTAGCAGGCTGAAGAAAAGAATTCACCCTGACGTTGGTTAGAGTAAGATGAAGAGTGCTTCGGGTTAGGATCCTGACGGTTCTGGCAGGGAGAAGTATTCCTGAGGGTGCTACAGAGGAGTGCACTCAAATACTCTCACTTGCGGAGCTCACTCGGAGAACTGAAACCTGAAGGATCCACATGGCATTCTGGGGGCGTAAAAACAGAACTATCAATTCTCTGTAGGCAAAATGTCTCGCCTACTGGCTATAGAAGTTATAACTGTAGGAAACCTTTTCATGACATCCAAAGTCCCAGCTGCAGTGGTGGAGGACAATGACAGGTGGTGGTCCTGGTGACCAGGAGGAGTGGTGAGAATTCAAAGCCGACTCTAGGAGAGCTGCAGAAGCACTGAAGGACAGCAGGTCCCTGGGACACTCAGGACGAGAGGAACCGTGGACAGCTGGGGCTTAGCGCCCTGGTATCACACAGGCTTATTCTGGGAACAGCTCTCTGACTGGGAAACTATCTTGCCGCCGTGTGTATAGTCTTGGTGGGACTATAAATCAGACTGCCTTGTTCTCCCACGCTCAAGGAGCTAGGCAAACAGGCTCTCCGGGGACATGAATCCTGAATGATGTGACCTAGACACTGAAAATCTGGTTGGCGCCCATTGTCCCAGCAGCTGTACCCTCAGACTGTCAAGGGCTTCCTGCCACCTACACCTCTAGAGATGTCCTGGCTCCTGTCCTTCTCTAGGAGGATTCTCCTGCTTTCCCATTAGTTCTGTCGGCTTCCCACTATCCTTCTAAAACATTAATTCCCTACTCATGTTTTCCAGAGTCTGTTTCCCTTGTGTACAACTGACGAACTGTAGCTAATACAGACCCTAATGGCAGAATGTTGATAAATTAGGGCAAACGGCTACTACAGCCTGTAAAGCAAGTTGAAGCATAAATCTACTGAAGGAATAGTTACAGCATGTCATCCCCGCATACAAAAATGGTCATTCATATCATTGAGACATAATGGGTTCTACCTCTACTTCAGAAAGCCCAGGTGGGAGGGTAGAGGGAAGGCTAACATACACATTGCCCTAGGAGCAGGTTCCCAATTGCGAGCCCTGCACTACGCTATGTACTATGATGACATAATAATGACAATGGTTGTATTCAATAGTAACCATGGTTCTGTCTCATATATTTATAGATATAAATATATTTATTTATAGTAATAGAAAGATTTTTAGGAAAACAGGCAAATTGCAAAGGCATTCCTTTGTCATCGTTTAAAAGGACTGAATTAAGATTCAATGTTAGACTGAAAATAAATGAGACAAATGTGTCCGGAAGCGTGTCTGTTAATTAAACCAAACAATTGGCCAAATAAAGTGACATATGTTTCAAGTTAACTAGTTGACATTTTCTGTTTGCTCCACAATTAGCAGGCAGGGCGGCTGGGCTTGTCGGAGAAAAGGAAGGCTACTTTATTTACTGACGCCTGGTCCAGCCCCACCAGATAGTCTGCAGGACCTCAGCCGTGGGGTAGCCTGGTTCTTAGGCTCACGACGTTTCACATACCAGGGGAGCACAGGTTTGTGAGTTCCAGTCTTCAGTGATGGCCTCAAGGGGGTCAGGCAGCTTTCTCTGGTCTAGCTGGTCTTTCTCCCACCTGATATGAGGCCACTGCAGTATCGATAGAAATTGAGAACATTCAATGTACGTGTTGCCCGTGGATTTCTGTCTCTGAATGGAGGCCCATGACCCCACCACGTCCTGGAAGACCCACTCCCTCTTCTCATTGTCAGGTTTCTGCCACCGTTACAGCTTGTGCCTCTCCTTACCCTAGCCCCCAGCCAAACTCTATCTCACCCATGATCTCGGTTTCCAGAACTATGGTTGAGCATGAGAACTTCAGGGAAGTGCTTTTGGACACAGATGTATAGGAGCCTCTCTACTGCACAAGTGGGACCATTCAACAGCTCTCATGTCCTGTGACACTCCTTCATGCATATTCTTTTCAGAGTTAGAGTCAGAGACCTCCAGCGGGTGTCACTGACCGCCTCCCTTTTGTGACAGTTTTATCACTCTCTTCCTCTCCTTCATCTCAGTCCCAGTGCCCTTTGCAGTACATAGAGAATTCTGCCTCTTATAGAACTACTACAACTTCTACAAGTCCTCTATCTGAGCTCACTGTCTATTTCTACTGATCTCTGACTTCCAGCACAGGTCTTTACAAAATGAAGACTTTAAGAAGCCTGCACCTTCTCTGCAATTTTTCATTGGAAGGAAAATGAAAGAAAGGTTGCTTACGATTGAGTAAGTCTAAATACGTGGCACTGCCGTGTTGCCTATGCACTGTCTCAGTCATTTAACAAACAGCAACTTGTATGACTTCCTGGAGGTCATGCTCTATCAGCACAATCTCGTGAGATACTTCCCCAATCTGACATGAGCCCACAAACCAGGTTCTTTGACCATGAGCAGTAGCACCACTCCAGGTCAGCTCCAAGAACTGTTAGAGATCCTCATGGACTTCTACATAGTGGCCTTGTACTTTCTACTCGGCCAGGCTTATCAAAGGCATTGAGTTATTCCTGGAATTCTCACAGGCCTCTGCCTTTCCTGGACCAAAATTAACCTTCTCAAAAGGAGGAGACAGTTTCTCTCAGATCCAGAGTTAGATAAAACATTCCAGCTGTTGAAGACTTGCATATCCCCTTCCCAACTTTGACTTACCTTCATCCAAACAGTTCTACACCATTGAAACCAATGCCTTTAACAGTGCAGTAGGGCCACGTTGCCCAAATATTAGGAAGTCATGGCCTGGCAACAATCAGTCTATGTGGAGGAAGCTGGCCTAGTTGATATCAACCACCTGACTTGAGAATGGGAATCATTTATCATCACTGCTACCTTAGAAGTTTGAAAGCATCAAACCAGATACAGGTATCCAGTATCTTGTGACAATGTGCTCGGACCACTAGAGCCTGGAGCAGCTGAGACAGACCTCGTGAGCCCCTTTCTTTGAGTGTTTTGATTTTACTATCTCTTACAAACTAGGGAGTGAAATGGCCAGGTGGGTTCCTTATTGCAAAGTACCAGGGAGTAGAGAAAACATCTCTACTCTTGGAAATCCTCCTGTGCTTACAACTAACAGAGGCAATCCAGTGTCTGATGTTCATAGGCACCTAGGATAGAACTAGTCACCCAGGAGTAAGCCAAGACCCTGAACACCATGAAATCCCTTCACCAAGATCAGTGGCTGTATTTCACAAGAATAGAGCCTGTCATAAACACTTTGCCTTAATATACAGTACACGCATTCTCACCATAACTACACTTCAAAAGGAAATCCTACTAATTTAAAGTTTTATATATAAGAAGATAAAAATCTTAAAATACTGAAAGAAAATGTGATAGGATAAAAAGATAAGAAGATTCACCTTATCTCAGAGATAAGGAAAAACTTTATAACCATTAAATTAATAGATGAAATGCCAAATTAATGAATAAACTGAATTACATAAAAGAAATATCTTCTACAGCCAAAATATAATAAAAATAAATGCCAATAGTTAATATGAAAAAAAGGTTAATATACTTTAAAATCTTTATAATGTTGTATTTAAATAAATGTATAAAGAAAACACTGGGATCCAAATTTAGAAGAATAGGTAAAAGATATAAACAGACAATTCATAACAAATGAAACACAAATGACTAAAAAATATGAAAAAAACCCTACAGCTTTGTTAGTATTATTGATCAAAGATCACATTACTTAAGTAGGTAACATTTGATGCTATGAGAATACAAAGAAATATGTAGATTTGGCCAAACTTCTGCAAAACAATTTGACCGTATATACCAAGAGTCTTAACACGCTCAGGCTCTTTGACTCAGTAACTCTATTTTCCAGAATAGCTTCTAAGGAAATAATTAGAAATGTGAACACAGTGTCATGCACAAAAGATATTTATCATAGTATAATTTATAATTGAAAACAACCTAAATGTTCAATAGCAGTGAAAGTGTTAAAGTAATTTATGGTCCCTCCACATGAAATCCATGTCTCCCATATGCAGTCATTAAAAATAACTTCATTACATTGATACTTATAAAATGATGATAGGTGTAGAAGACAGAATACCAAATTGAATATACTCACAAACTATACATTTAAAATAAGACTAAAGATCAATTTAAATTGCGGGAATATAAATCATTTTTTGTTTTAGTTATACTTTTTAATATTCTCCATACTTTTGAAACCCAATAAATGTATTTTAAATTACCTCTGGAATTCTGATGAGTAGAGCTTCATTTGTTTTTCTGTAACTTTATTCTATAATGAATTTTCTGACAGTGCAGAAAGAAGAGCAGTTTAGATTATAACTGGCAAATCCATTTTATCCATCAGATAATTACACATTAAATAAATTTGTGTTTTAGTATCTATTATCTTGGACCATGACTGAATTAATTAGTAGAGTTTACTTTAAGGCTGAAATAATCATTCTAACAGTGTAGCCTGAACTGGTTTGATAGTTTGGGCAGATCCCACCCAGACAGCAGCCTAGATGCTCTGTCACAGCTCCTGCCCTCTGTCGACTTTGCCTTAGGTCATATTTCTAGGCTCCCTTTGTGTCTTGGTCTTGGCTTTGGCTTGCTTTCTGTGTAGGTTCTTCAACACAGATCTGATTCTTAATCTCTCCCAGCCCTCTTGCCTTGATGTTTTAGCAGTTCCCTGCTTTTCCAGCCTGGTCTCTGGGAGACTTGGTTGTTTGAGACTTCAAGTCAGATCAAGCCCATCCAGAGATTTTCTGAGGCTCTGGGTTTTCTTGTCCCACGTTTCCCGGCTCCCCAACTGACATGGTACCTCCAATAAGCCAGTAAGACACACACTTCTTTATCGGCCCTCTTTCCTTCTCTCAGCTTTTCTCTATGAACAATCTCCTAGGGCAGTCAAGTTGCCTGGGCCAGTTCCCCATCCTGACCATCTGGCACCCTCCAGTGGTCATGGGTGGCTGTGCCCTGGCTAGCAGTGACTTTCAGAGCTAGATCCTACTTGAGAATCCCCAGGCCTGTTAGGGCCCTCCAGTGACACTTAAAAGGAGCAGCTGTCGGAATCTACTATCAGATCTTGGCAAACCTTACTTCTGCCTAGCCCCTTGCGATTCAACCTCCTGTAACTTGCTGATGGAGAAATTCACCAAAGGCCCTGCCTTCCTTTCTCCTGTAAATGTATTTGTATCAAGAGATACTAAGATACACATTCTCAAAGGAAAAACCTTTTCTGGTTTTGCATTTGGCAGGGAAGTAATAATAAGTACTAACGTAATTGAGCGCCAGATGTCGAGCTAAATGCTTTACATACATTATCACATATAATCTTCACAACAACGCTGGGAGGTAGGCACCTATTTTTAATCTCCATTTTACAGAAGAGGAAACAGAGGCTCAGAGAGGTTACTCAGAAGTCAAGGTTAAGCTTAAAGGTCAAGATCTCCCTGATGGCTAACTATGGATTCAAAACCACCCCCTCCTGACTTGGGGCCCATGCTTCCTAAGAACTAAACCATACAGCTCTGTAGAAAACTGGGAAGCTCAGAGGCCATGTTTTCTATCATGTAGAGAACATTAGTCTGCAGCAAGAAGAAGGAATAAAAAAGAGGGAGAGAAGCAGAGACAAAAGGTAGGGTTAGAGTTCTAACAGGACTTGAGTCCTTGGTTCCAGTTGTTTCTGAGGCCCAGGAGCATCCTTGTCTTTCTCCAGACTCGGTTGTTTCATCACAGTCTTCAGTTCTTCCAATAAACTCCTCCCTTTAGGTCAGTTTGATATGGCTTTCTGCCACTTGCAATGCAAGAGTCCTACTAAAACACGAAGTCAGTCAGGTACTCTTGAAGACAGTCCGGGTGTTAACACCCACAGCAGCATTAGAATAGTGATGAATTGTCTGATCCATACTGGGCTCTTTTTGTTGCAAGAAACGGAGATGGAGTCAAGCTACTAGAGATAAGTTACTCATCACTTAGACACAAGTCAAAGGGAGGGTTTACACAAAAAACATATATGAAGTGAAACTGCAGCAGTAGCACTAAGTAACAGCTACTGAATCATCTCTCTCGGGGCTTTCCGACCTCTCAGCGAATCAGCACCACTCTCTCTCTGGACCAGCCTTCTTAGCGAACGCATCTTGTACCTGGCTACAAAAGTGGCCGCCCTAGCTACTTTTATGGCCTTCCAGTTTCAGTATATACCAAAATTCCCTTTGTGTCTCTTATTGTAGGTTCCTAAAGAGAGAAGATTTGACTTCTTCTGCTTTTCTTTTTAAACCAAGTTCATGGAGTATACATCATTGGATATGGTTTATGGCCACTCCCTTGGACCAGGTGTCCAGTTAGGTGTGGTCATGGCCATGTGGCCCACTGACCACTCAGTAAGGTCAGTGGGCAGGGATTTTATTAGAAAGGGACGTGAGCAGGCCAGTAATAACTGGCATCTCTAATCAAGCCTACTTAAATGCAATTTGAACTCTTGCCAATAACAAAAAATTAAACATGTTGCAAACATGGGCAACCCATTTCCCAAAGACCCTCTTTAATTATCTCAAGCTGGCAAGAGAGTTCACCTTCTGGTGCTTTCAGGCTTGTGTTCTATCCTCTACCTCAAAGTGCACTTT